ATATCTTAAAGTAACTGACACCCAATTACTTTGAGTCAGACTGTAGTATGTTGTGGGGGGTTTCTCCAGAATTTGGGGAATTATGTGTTAGCAAAAGCCATTTTTTAAAAATATATATATTTTTATTGATTTCAGAGAAGAAGGGAGAGGGAGAGAGAAATAGAAACATCGATGATGAGAGAGAATCATTGATCAGCTGCCTCCTGCATACCCCCTATTGGGGATTGAGCCCACAACTCAGGTATGTGCACTGACTGGAAATTGAATCGTGACCTCCTAGTTCATAGGCCAACGTTCAACCACTGAGGCACACAGGCCGAGCTGGCAAAAGCCATTTCTGATGCCCCCTCCCAGGCCTCTGCCGAGACCACTCTGAAGCCTGGACTACCACATAGATCGAGAGTTTCTGGAACACAGGGGTTCCTTCTAAATTCCATCAAATACAAGCCTTGCCCCATAGGATGGTCTTCATAAATATTCATTAAAATGATATTGAGCCCTAATCGGTTTGGCTCAGTGGACAGAGCGTCAGCCTGAGGACTCAAGGGTCCCAGGTTCGATTCCGGTCAAGGGCATGTACCTTGGTTGCGGGCACATCCCCAGTGGGGAGTGTGCAGGAGGCAGCTGATCAATGTTTCTCTCTCATTGATGTTTCTAGCTCTCTATCCCTCTCCCTTCCTCTCTGTAAAAAATCAATAAAATATATTTAAAAAATGATATCGATAGAGGAAGAGTAATAAAATACTATGGACCTGGATGTTTGGAGAAACAACCAGTAAGAGGGGAAAATGTTAACCACTTCCTAATTGTGTCATAGGCTAGCTTGTGGGGAGATGACATATAAAAATAATACTAATAACATCTAACTCTTATCAGGAGTTTATTATTATGTACCTGTCACTGTGCTAAGCAGTTTATATGCATTATCTCACTTAATGCTCACAGCAATCCTAGGAGGTAATACTATTTTTATTCCATTTTATAGATGCACAAACTGAAGTTCAGAAAAGTAGGTAGCTTGCCCACAATCACACAGCTGAGAAATGGCAGAGCCCAGTTTCAAACTCAAATAATCTGATTCCAGACTCACATTGCCAAAGGGATCTAAGAACTGAAGGACTAACACTGTGTCAGATCCTTATCATGGCTTTTCCTTCCCCTTCTCCATATATCTCCACCCCCAATTTGGATATTTCTCCTAATGTTTCCAGACAGAACTAAAGCTTTGTCACTCTGTTTTTCCAACCTCAACCTAATTTTCAGAATTATGCAATTCTCCCACCCATCCTCTCGGTGGAGCCTCCCTCACCGTCTCTCCCTAGGTAATCCAAGACCCCAGAAGTTGGTACAATGTGAGAGACGGGAAGACTTGAGAAATTAGAAACACTCAGGGAGACCCTGCTCCTTGGAGGAGCGCCCCTGAGACCCACACTCTCTCCCACAGACAGCAGCCGAAGCACTCCCCACAGCCTTCTTGGGAGAGCCTCTCTTCAGTCTCGAAGCCCAGGACTTTCCCTTGTCCTTGATCCCCACTCCAAGCCCCCTTGCTGTCTCCTTGCCCATTTGTGTCTCCCAGCACCTGTCAGTAGTTTTCCATTATGTGTATTGACTAAAACTAATGGGAAAGCCAGCCTACAATCAGGGTCCAAAGATGACCAACCTTTCAACCCTCAGTAAAACGCTTAATGGAGGCTGAACTTCCCAGCACCAGGCCTGATTTCCATGGTGACACCCCTGGGGATTGTTGCCATGGTAATGCTGGAGAGACATGGGCCACAGAGAACATTATCTCCCCTCTCCATTTTCCTTTATGAGGCTCACCCCAAAGCTAAGGGGAGACCTGCCTGCTCCCCATCTTCAAATAACAAAGGAATCCCCAGCCACCCCAAACAATAATGTCTGTTCTAATAATCCTGCAGGTCCCAACCTATCTTTTCCAAATGAGGTACTTGATGGTTCTGGGGTTTTTCCTCCTTAAGAACCTACTTAACTAGCTGAGAAAGGTAGAAGGTAACGGATACTTGAAAGAAGGAGGGAAGAAAGGAAGGGTGGAGGGAAGGAGGGAAGGAAGGAGGGAGGGAAGGAAGGAAGGAAGGAGGGAAGGAAGGAGGGAGGGAAGGAAGGAGAGAGGGAAGGAAGGAAGGAGGGAGGGAAGGAAGGAGGGAGGGAAGGAAGAAAGGAAGGAGGGAAGGAAGGAGGGAGGGAGGGAAAAAGAAGAGTGAGAGAAAGAAAGTGTGAGTGTGTGTGTGTGTGTGTGTGTGAGTTCTTTATTGTCACCCTTCCCACATCTGGTATAAATGTAGCTGCACAGAAAAGCAGGCCCTGGGACACTGACCACCAAGACCAAAAAAGAGACACTTAAATGGTTCTGGTGAATAAGTCACATTGGATTCTGAGTGACATACAGATCAAAACAAGGTCCACAGCACACACAGTGACCCAGACACCCTTCCACCATGACTCAGGCCATGAACTTTGGCTCAGCCCTGTGCCCCAGGTTCCTGGGACTAGGCAGGGGCCTGAGGGAGGGATGAGACCCACAGAGCTGCCCCTCCAGCTTATTCTTCTACCCACTGCCACACAGAAAAAAAAGCCCACGAAAATGAGAGAGTCTGAAGCCCAGAGCCAGCCGCCGCGCTGCAGAGGCAGAGCTGAGAGCCGTCAGATAAAGGAGCAGGGGCTGGGTGTGGACTGACCACTGTCTCCCACTGTCACTCTTCCCTCATCCTCCCAGACATCTTGAAGCAGTTCCCTTCATTTATTCCTCAGTGTCTCACACCCTGGGCCCCAGGAAAGGGGGTAGGATATTTCCTTCCCTTGTTGAGGTCCTCAAGGGTCTCCTCGACAATTACTTCTCCCTCAGCATCCTGAGTGACAAATGAATAGTAAGGCTCCAAGGATGCTGCCTGAGACAAAATGGCCCCCCACAAGCCTTTATCTAGGAGTGAGAGAGTGACAGGAAGGGCGAAGGCAAGGGAAGATACAGTGAGACAAAGGTACAGCCCTGCATATATCAGGCAAAACAGACAGGAAGGACCTGCTATGTAGCTAAGCTAGAATCTGAACTGGCAGGCCCCCCCCCCCCCCCCGCCCGGGCCTCTCCTCATCTCTCTTCCTTCCCCACCTTCCACTGTGTCTCTCCCGTTTAGCTGCGTGAATTGGACAGATCCACACCACAATTCCTTCTCCCAATTTCACCCTATGCCCCATGCTCACCAAGCCAAGATGAACAGCCCAGAGAGTCTAGAGGAGTTGGTTTAGACTTACCTGAAAAAAATCTACGATAAAGGAAGCGAGCCTTAAGAGGAGAAGCCTTTTGTAGATTTGCTCCCCCAAAACCAACTCCCTCCTGTTTCTCAGATTTTATATCTCAGAGGGACCTGAGGCTCCAACTCTCATAGCTAATGCCTGCTGTCCAGACTGTTCAGAGAGGAGTCCCCCAAGGTTGATCCACTGGCCTGTGAGGCCTAAGGACCCTGAGACAGAGACGGGGGGCCCGCTCAGTGTGGCAAACAGTCCCATTCATAAGCACACACACCTGGCACCCACCCATCTGAGTTCACCGTGCAGGTGAGAGAGCTCGGTGTGGTGCCAGCCTGGGGCCCTTGGGGACAGAACACGTCAGCCGCTCTCTTCCTAAGGCCTGTTTACTCTAAGTCCCATTCTCACTGATTCAGAAGGCCCAGGCTCCCGCCCCTTCTTGCTTTCATTTCTTTAACAACATGCCTTGTGCCAAGCACTATGGATCAAAGATACAGAAGAAGTGCTCTTGACCTTGAGGACTGTCCTCATATGTGCCCCTCCCTTCTCAAAGGGGCTAGTTCCCTGGCCCAGCACCCCTCAAGCCCTACTGGACTCCACCCCAATCCTTTCAGCCCTTAGCCTGGCAACCCCTACCAACCTAGGAAAGGAGGGGTGGGTGAGGAGTTCCCTAGAAATTCCCTTTGGACCATTACAGATGAAGGACCAGAATAGAAATCTGTGGAGGCAATATGACATAGAGGGAAAGACATGAGCTTTGGAGCCACAGATTTAGGTTCACATCCATGAAGTCACAGTGTGACCTTGAGAAAGTCATTCCACTTCTTTGGGCCTCAATTTCCTCATCTGTAAAATGGAAATATTGACACCAACTTCAGACTGTTGTTTTGAGGATTGAATATTACACATAGAGTAACAACCACACGGCAGATATTAGCCCTCCTTCGTACGATTTCCTCAACGGGTAGGGGCTGTCATGATGAAGTAGAGGTGGCTTGCTACTTTTTATTGGGTCAACAGAAAGGATGAATAAGCAAATACTTGTTAGGATCTCAGGGTCTGCTTATTTTTATTTGTTAGGGAGAAGGAGGGGGTTTGAAATCCTCTTCCTACTGTACCTGGGAGGGAAACGCAGACATTTCCTTAGGATCCAGGAGGCTTCCCCAAAACTAGGTGTGGCATCATTGCATGTCTTTCTCAGAAAACGCTTCATCAGACCTGTGCCCTCCCTCCAAGTCCAGGCTGCAAGTACTGTGGGGAATGATGGAGGACTGGGTCCCAGAGCCCATCCTCTTTTGTATCTCCGCAGAGACCCTGGACTGTCCCCCTCGGACCTAGTCCATCCACTAGTCTTCCCTTCCCTCCCTTCCTGGGAGCTGGGGGTAGAGATATGAGCCAATAACAAAGGGAAGACGCGCTTTCTCTAGGGGTGAGGGGAAACATTAGAAAAACACAGGACTGGTGGTCAGGGGTGGGGACCCTGCAGGGGGCAGCAAAGGGGAAGGGGGCGACCTGGTGGCGGGGAAAGAGCCCCCTCCCACTGCAGAGACTTGGCAGCGGGCCTGCCAGGCCACACCCAGCCATCCTGGTGCAGGGGAGAGGAGGGGCTTCGGCGAAGATGATGGAGGATGAAGAGCGGAGAGGGGGCACCGAGGGAGAGGCAGGGACTAAGGCTCGGCGAGGGGTAGGATTCAACCACCTGCCCCCTCCCCGAAATGCCCTCCTACAGAGGCACTCACCCCAATAACGACGCTGTCGTCCCCTTGGAAAATGGGGATGAACTTGTCTCCCCGCAGAATCTCGGCCTGGTTCAGGGGCCGAAATCGGCAGAGCACCTTGATGCTGCATTCGTTGTTGGTCTCCGTCATGGTGGTCGCCGGCTGGGGCTGCTGCACTCCCTGGGCGGCAGAGGAGGTGCGTGCTCCGAGGGAGGGAGCTCAGCGGAGGCCGAGGTGGAGGGCAGGTGCTTGGCCTCTGGGGCCGAGAAAGGTCTGGGGGTGCCCGGGTGCAGGCTGGGGAGCAGGGCCGGGGCGCACTTCCTCTCTCCTGCGGCAGCGGGATGCGGGCGACCTGGGCGTCTGGTCCTCTCCGGGCGCTCTGCCTCTCCGCCCCTCGCGCTGCAGCGCCGCTCTGCGGGCCTGGGCGGGGCGGCGACCGAGGAGCGGGGCGGGGCTTCCCTCGCCGCGGGGCGTGGGGGCCGCTCCGCGTCCATCACCCACCGTGGCACCTTTCCTCCCCTTTGCCTCCTCTTCTCACCCCTAACTCTCGAAGATAACCTTGTCCTCACCCCTTCCCTGCCCAAGTGACACACTGCATCCCACATCCCTAACCTGTCAGTCCCTCCCCCAGACTCCACCCTCTGAAAGGAATAAGGGGTCTGGGGAAGGCCTGTCCAGCCCCTTCCAGTCCCCTTTACTCCAGGGCACCCTCCACCCCGTCACAATCCTCTCTCCAAATTGGGAGCACACTTCTTATTCCCTCTCCACACACCCCAGCCCACTCAACCTTCAAGGGCAGTGGCCTATACCCCATGGAGATGGCTGTACAGGTACCATTTTTTTCAGAGAAGAGTATCAGGAGAAGTTTGGCTATTCCCTTCCCGTCTACATACAGGGGTGCAGTCTGCTATGTCCCCAACATACATTCCTTTTTGTTGTTGTTTTGTAATATATTTTTATTGATTTCAGAGAGGAAGGGAGAGGGAGAGGGCGAGATAGAAACATCAATGATAAGAATCATTGATTGGCTGCCTCTTGCACGCCCCCTACTGGGGATCTAGCCTACAACCCCCGCATGTGCCCTGGCCATAATCAAACCCAGGACCCTTCAGTCCGCAGGCCGACGCTCTATCCATTGAACCAAACTGGCTAGGCCTTTGTTGTTGTTAATCCTCACCCAAGGATATCTTTCCATTGATTTTCTTAAGCGTGGAAAGGAGGGGAAGATACAGAGAGAGGAACATCGATGTGTCACATGAATTGATTGCCTCCCTCACGTGCCCCGACCAGGGCCAGGGATCCAGCCCTAAACCGAGCCCAGCAACTGAGGTAAGAGGTACCTGTCCTTGACCAGAATCCAACACAGGACCCTTCAGCTGAAGCTCTATCCACTGAGCCAAACCGGCTATGTCCCCACATCCATTCCAGGTCCTCAGTTTGAAGGAAAACAAGCTCCCATTCTGGGCTATCAGAATTCAAGAGCAGATAAAATTTTCATTTTTGCCTCATAGGTTGGGCCTGGAATGATGAAAGTGGGTAGCAGTAACTTTTGCAAGAGAACGGGAGTCAGAAAGCAGTGAAGGAGGGGTAGTGATGGGGTGGGCAAGGCCAGAGGGACTTTAAGAGAGGACTTCTGGGGTAGACTTCTGAATTTGGGTTTCAGGCAGGTTTAGACACCGATTTGAGTGTGTTTCCTGTCCCAGTTACTATTGGACAGAGTCCTAACATCTCAGGCCTTTCTTCTTTTGTTTCTCCCCCTTCCCTCTCTGTTTCTCCCACTTCTCTGGCCAAAAAAAGAAAAAAGAAAGAAAGAAAAGCCAAGCCTAGAGATTACTTGTCCTTCCTGCCCTTAGGTCAGACTTCTGCTGCAGCCCCTGGGCAGAACTATCTAGAAGCTGGCCAAATTGATTTTTCTCCACATCACAGGCCTCCGCTAGCCAACAGAGTTAGACTGCAGGAATTGAGGCTCTAGGCCAAGGGGAGGAGCAGGATGATGGAAGAAGGGAGGAGGGGATAGAGGTTCTGCCAACAATTGTCTAAGGTCACTTAGACACTATGAGGCAAGGGGAGAGAATGATGGCCTGGCCAGACAAGACCTAAGCATTCAGAATTCAACTGGGAGGGTTTCCAAAATTGGACCTATACCTCTAACCCACCTTGAATTTTAAGGAAACTGAAGGGGAAGGGTTCAGGATAACAAACTGCAAAGGAAGGCAAAGGACTATGAAGAAAGAGGGATAGAGGCTTGGTGAGGAGCCAAGGGAGGATGCACAGAATGACAATGAGTTCTAAACTCAGGAAAATAAGCATCTCTCTAGTCACTTGGTCTGTCACTATTTCTAAGTTTTGCAACAGCCTGAAAGCTTAGGGTACATCCTGGGAAACAGCCCAACCTCAGGCCTCCAGGGGCTCCAGCATGGCATCCTTAAGTAAAGGAGTTTCAAAATGCTAGTCCATGGAGGGTCATTGGTCAGAGACAAAGGTTTATGGGTAAGCCCTCCCCACCCCTCCGCAAAAGTTAAACACACACGCAGTGTGATTTTTCATAAAGCAGAATTTATTCTGAGAGTATGTCCTTCTTACTTTCCTGCTAAGGGATGATGGCAATAGTAAATAGATGGTTTTTTCCTTTAATGTACTTGGCAAAATGAAAGGAAGCAATGCTATGCTTATCTCGCAAAACTTTGTTGTTCTTATTTTAATTTCCTTTTTTTAAATTTTGTTTTAATTTTCTTGAACTGTCAAATTCAAAGCTCTGAAACCAGTGAAGTGGCTAAGAGCACAGAGGGTGTTCAGACATAGAGCCATCACTTACCTATGAACTTGGATAGGATGGCTAGATTTGAAGAAAAAAATAGGATAATCAACCCAGCCAGCATGCCTCAGTGGTTGAGCAACAAACTAAGAACCAGGAGGTCACAGTTCCATTCCTGGTCAGGACACATGCTGGGGTTGGGGGTCGATCCCCAGTGTGGGGCATGCAGGAGACAGCCGATCAGTGGTTCTCTCTCATCTTTGGTGTTTCTATCTCTCTTCCTCCCTGAAATCAATAAAAATATATTTCAAACAAGCAAACAAACAAACAAAAAGTATAACCAGTTAAATTTTAATTTCAAATAAAAAATAACATTTATTGTGCTATTATGTCCCAAATATGGTATGGGACACACTTATGGGTCCAACCGGGGTGTGGCTCAGTGGTTGAGCTTTGACCTATGAACAAGGAGGTTGCAGTTTGATTCTCAGTCAGGGCACATGCCAGGGTTGCAGGGTCCATCCCCAGTGGGGCTGTGCAGGAGGCAGCGGTTCAATGATTCTCTCTCATTATTGATGTTTCTCTCTCTCCCTCTCCTTTCCTCTCTGAAATCAATAAAAACATTTTTTAAAAGCCTATTTATTGCTTATTTCAAATTTAACGAGGCTTCCTGTATCTTATGACAGTCCTAAATTGTGAAGGTGACTTACCTTTTTCATTCCCAACAAGACTGAGCCTTTATTAAAGTTTATTTGTTATCCTTGTTTTTGGAGTCCTGGCTGTGTCACAACATGCCTAGTTGTGTTATTTTTATGTAATCATTTGATTTCTGGGGAGTCCAAACTTGTTTATCTGAAGAACGGGAATTAGAAAAGCTCTTTCACAGGCTTGATGTAAAAACTAAAGAAAATAGGTCGGATGAAATAAAAAGCACTTTACTGTCATCGCCCGCCAAAGCCCCAGTGGGCCAAGACTACATATCCCATAATCCCAGTCGGCGCCCCCCGCCATTACCTCATTCCCTGCCCTCGTTCTCGCCAGTCCCGGCCTCTACACGGGTGTGGTAGCGGGCTGTTCTCGCGACTTTTGCTCTGTCCTCCTGTGCTTCAGCTGTCGCGAGACTTCCTACTCCTCCGCCTCCTCCGCCACTCCCTCTGCCGCCGCCTAGCTCGGGACCCGGACCCAGCCTCTCCCCCACCCGAACTCCGGCCCCGGCTTCGCCGAGGCCCCGGTCCCCCAAACCCGCCTCGCCGCCGCCATGGCGGACCCTAAATACGCCGACCTTCCCGGCATTGTGAGTACAGGGCCGGCCTCGGCTCCCTAGAACCGCGCCCCCGACCTCCTGAAGACCCCCAACAGGCACCAACCTGTGACCCCTCCCGTCTGCAGCCCCTGCACCACCCCCAGGGCTCCCGCCGCTTGCTCCGGACGAGCCGCAGCACCTTCCGGCCTCCTCTGATCCGACTGGGCCAGGCCTAGGTCGGCCTACCGGGCCCCTCTTCCGGCCGCCGCCGGGTTCTCGGCCCAGAAATCGTCTCCGGGCCCAAATCACTGGGCCCGAGTGTTTCTACCTCCCATGTCAACACCAGTGACTCCCCACATCTTCCCATGAGCCTCCCATCCCCACCCAGACACACACATCCGGCCACTTAGTGATGGCCTTCATCCTGCCAGAACCCTTGTGCTGGATGGAGAACTCTGTCCCCCGGGGAGTGCCCTGGCACCCCACCCCGCCCCGCACGTGCGGGCATGGACCCCCCTTTGTGCTGGACTGCCTGCATTCCCGGGTTGGGGGCTGGGTCACAGGACCTTGGGTACTAAGGTCCTGAGTCACTCTCAACCCTTGTGCCAGGGTAGTGTGTACAGGACCTAACGCGAGGACAGCCCTTTTCCTACTGATGACATAAGGATTGCTAAGGACCCATGCCCTTTCAGATTAGGGTAACGTCTTGGTCATCACTTATACTCAGCATTTACCATCAAGTCCCAACTGTCCCCACTGTCATCCCTATCCCTCTAAGACATGGGAACTGCAGTTAACTGGGCAGGTGGAAGCGAAGGGACAGGATTCTGGCATCACAGCCTGCCTTCTCTGTTAACTTGTTCCAATGGAATAGGGTCAGGGGTGTTGGTGGGTGCTGTGTAATGAAGTCAGGTGGTCACTGCTTCTACCCGCAGGCCAGGAACGAGCCAGATGTTTATGAAACCAGCGACCTACCTGAGGATGACCAAGCAGAGTTCGATGCGGTAAGACTATGTGCTGCCTCAGGACTCCTCTGGACTCTGACCTCTCCCCCAGGCAGGCCCTTTCTCTTTTCTGGGGAGCCATGGCGATAAGCGGGTATGCCAACCCAGCCTGGGTGGTGTGTTGGTTGCAAGGCCTTGGCGGGCTTGCCGCTGCCAGTGAGCAATACCAGGAAGGAGAGTCAGGTCAGTGGAATTCCAACGAACAAGATCTGATCCTTGGCCTTTGAAATAAAATTGAAATATCCCAAAACATTTAGGTTTGGGGCGAGTGACTCCTAAGTCCCCTGCACGCTATTCCATGGTAATGAATCATGAAGCTTGAGTTTTTATAAACTGCTTAAGGTTAGGTCTAGGCCTTCTAGTTCATAAAATATTTCACTCAATATGTGTTCATTAGTATCCTACCGAGAGCT